TCACAGCATCCATCTTAGCCTTGATTTTCACTGTAGCTCGGACACCAGAAACACTTACCGAAGGAGGAGAAGAGACTGGAACATTGCAAATCACGGTGCATTATCTAAAACCGATTTTTTTTTTCTGTCTGATGTCATCAGCAGCCCTTTGCAAAACTCAATCACTGTAGAGGGCAAAACTTTCTAAGATGGCTGGGAAACGGGTGACCAGCATCTTCATTACAGCAATGAGGCCGTCCTACATTCCGGCGCTCCATATTTCACGGCCAGCGGAGGCAGCCTTGACTAACACCTAAGCACATGTGACAATAAGTCTGGAATAACGGAGCAGCAGAATGAGGTGGAGTTCCAGGAGGGGCTGCGGGGGTCCCACCTCATTACGCGACTGTCACAACACCTGTCCGTGTTCATTTGTGTAACCGTTTCAGAGGCCGGATGTTCAAAAGCTAAACGCGGAGTCGGGAGTGAGGGGCAAGCGATGCGGAAATGGGGCACTGGGACCTGGTAAGGGGAGCTGGGCCTCTGCCACAGCAGACGGGGGAGACCTGACCATCTGACTGGACGTAGAAGGTGTGTCACGCACCATGTGCCTTTTTACCCCGTCCACATCCCAACCAGTGATGCGGGTAGGAGACGCAAAACAGAAGCGATTAAAGGGATTTCGGGAAGGAAATGAGCCACAGCGGAGGTGGTAGCAGGGAGGCCTGAAACACGAATCATGTTCCTTATGTCCTCACTTCCTGTTTGGCTGGATTACTGTAATGAGAGAGGGCCTTTGCTGCATACTTCTGTCAACAGAGCTATGGATCATCACTTCAAGCCAAGATTAAGCCTTTGGGGAGAAAAGATTCATATTTCCCTGAGTTTATTGTAGGACAATAAAGGCGAACATTAAGATTTTTTTTCCCCCATTACCATGGTAACTAGCTTCTTAGTGGGAACAGGCAAGATATCTCCCTTAGGCAGCCTCGGAGGAGGCTTGGATGTTATTGTTCTCGTTTTACTGTCAGATCACAGGGGCCGTGCACGACAAGCTCATCAAAATCATGCACATTAAAAACATACTGCCGTTTACCATAATGAAGAAGCAGCAGGATGCCATATCTGGACATGCAGCTTAGAGCTGCAGGTGCACTGCATAGTGACCACCAAGGTTACTTACCACCGGATTTAAAATAGCCGTCTATATAATTGTAAAATTGCAAGCTATTTGACTTCCTCTGGGTAACAGATTTCCCTAAGTAACAGACTTTTATAAAATAGTACATTATTAGAGATTCCACCAAATTAACTGCTTGCGAAGGATTAAGAGACAATGTGTCTCTGGATTCTGTTATACTTCGATGCTGCCTGCTTGTTTTACTGTTGCAGTTAATCCCCTGACCCCAGAATATGACACCGAGCCCTGAGTTATTAGCACTGAGGTCTACCGTGGTTCTAATCATCTTGTGCTCGTAATGCATCCGACAGCCCCATCTGTGTGGATCCAGCGGAGCCGCATGGTAAATGGGAAACAATCGGGGAGCAGCTGGAGCCCCCCAGCCATAAATCCCCGTCACGGCCCAGTCACCGCGATTGACAGCGTTCCCCCAGTACGTTCTGTTCCTCCATGGCTGCGCCGGGAGTACGTGCCCGTCGTTTGGGCAGGACGTGGAGGTGGCAGCAGGAGGTCCATAACCATCAGAGGGCACAAAGGGCACGGAAAATGCACACTGTCACACGTGCGGAGGCCACACCTACAGTACGTGCAAGTGAATGTTCTACAAGGGAAGTCAGATAGTTCAGCATCGTAATGATAATGAATGATTATCATGTCCAGGACGAGTATCTTCAATAACAGTCTTACACATCACCATGATTTTATATACCTATGTCAGATATCCCAGCTCCACTGGAAGTTCCCGGAGTGTCTGGCTAATTGTCAGCAGCTCCAACACCCACCAATGATGCACAATATCCCTGAAATCTGAATTCTGCAACCACCCTCTGAGTGTGTGTCTCAAGCATCAGACCCCCTCGTGCTTCTGAGCCGTTTGGGGTTTATTGAGTTCCTGTGTTAGTCCTGTAATGAACTCAAGACTTCGCTCTTCCCTGAGAGCTGGGTTTGTAGTTGTTCAGTTCCCGTCTCTGTTTTTCTGAGCAACAAAAGCCAACACTTTGTGTTAGCCAACCAGAAATGCATTACCTGGTTTGGTGGAGAACGGCCGTAAGATGGGAATAAAATAAAGATAGAAAAACAAGTTCAAATAATGAAGATGTAATATCCATTCAGATGTAGTGAAGTTGTAGAGATACAAGTTGTTTTAACTTAGATTTGTAGAAGTAAAGGCAAATCGTTTTGCCGGTCCTTAAATATTTAAGTTAGTATAACTTTAAAATACTCATATAGATTACTCAATAATTGAGCAATTTGCTAACATAAAGTTGAGCCTACAATTGTTTTTTGAGTGTAGGTCACATTAAAGGTGGGAAAAGTTATGAAATGATGGTTTCATTTTTTTACATCACAAAAACCTGCCATTTGAACACTTTGTATATCCAGTGTATGTACATTGAATTGAATAGAATGGTGATACTTTATTCATCCATATTGCGTTTTTATCTCTGCCCATACTGCTCTCCATGAGACATATATGCAGACAAGAGCAAATTTTGAGGTTAAGGGCCTCGCTCAAGGGCCCGATGATGGCGTCAGTCTGCCAGCCTTGGGATTTGATCCCATGACGTTCCAATCAGGGTCACCTAACCGGCTGAGGCACACACAGACAATTTTAGGGGTGCACAGCAGGAGTGAAACACTACCGTAACGTACAGCACATTTGGTGTTATCTAGCTGTTGTGCTTTTTTTGCCAGTGCTTCTACTGAATATTCAGCACAATGTGTACCTCTATCACTCAGATATAAATGAAAACGACCTTTGCAACGCTGGTTAATACTCACAGACCTAATACAAATTCTAACCCAAAGCTGAACAGTGAGCTGATGTTTGAATTCTCATGAGAAATAATCCATATATTTTTAAAAAATGGCTGTTTTTTTTTGCTGAGAGAACATTTCAGGCAGCAACTGATGGTATCTATCAGAACATCTGCAGAAGGTGCCTTTTTTATGGCTAAGCACTAATATAGCTGAAGTGCCTGCGAGGAAACAGCTGGGCAGGAATCACCTTGAAAGTGCTTGAACTCCGTCAGCCGTCAGCCTGTATTTGGTAATTATCTTCTGCCCTTTCTACATCACAGGGACACCCGAATACCCACCCCCCTCCAAACTTCCGCTACTCAGCCCACATCTCCCTCTGCCAGATGCCGGAGAGCTTTTCAAACCGGATCTGGCACGTGAGTCTCTGTGGTCCCCCGCTGTCTTTCTCCTTACACCTCAGCCTCTTTCTAATGCTCCCGTAAATAAAAGTGGAAGAATAAAAAGAGAAGGACCGGACCGTCCTCTGAAAGTGATCGCAATTCCTGTCGACATATTGGGCCACAGGCCGCCGCCGTATCGTAGCCGTCCCGCCCCATGCTGATGAAATGCCCCCAAGCCCATCAAACGTGGCCTGTGATCAATAGCAATTCTCTCTCGCCAGCATTTCGAGTTACTGAGGTCTGTTCCCAGCCGTCATCCACTGAATAGATGATGCCGGCGCAGCCTTTGCCACACAAAGGACAGAAAAATTGCCGGGAACTACAGGCCGTTAGCTTTACAACAGACGTGTTTGCCCAGTCAGGCAACATTCAAAGATACAATTGATATGAAACCTTACAGTCTCTGTTCATGTTTCCCAGGAATATTGCTTTCATCCGGACAGTAGGGCAGTGGATGAAGTTCATTCCACTGAAACAGATTTGAAAAAATTTAACTAGAGCAGCCTCTAGTAGCCAAATAAAAGTTTAAACAAAAGACTGTCAAACATTAAACTATAACGACACTCATAAATACATAAATTGTACATCAAGTCCTTCAGCTGGACACTTTTTCATCTACATACCACTCTATACATAATGTAGGACTTTTCAGACAATGGTATCAATGTAAAATAGATGAACGTAACACAGAAAATTCCTGCGTCTTTATTTTTGGCCAAAAGATCCTTTTATAACTGTCCACCTAGCTGTACCCTAAAGGTCCGCAGCCTGACTGGTTACTTTTATAAAACTGTCACTTGGATGTACCCAGCCTGTAACTGAATGACATCCACGGCAATAGAAATTAGTTGAGCCTCACATAAGCGTTCTTCAGCCACGTCGCCAAATATTGTGTTGATTAATAAAGTTGTTTCATTAATAATTTTAGTCAATTAATATGCGCAGATTCCCCATTGTGCTTAATCCTGAAGATCTATTCCATCGTTGATTTTGCATTCCATCTTGCTAATACTGAGCGTAGCGCTGCTTTGAGCATGTTAATGATGATTACTAGTTAATGAAGGATATTGGCATTTATTATCATTCTTGTTGATTTCATCTACAATTGCTTCTTCTAAGCAGCACTCAAAAATGTGCAGAAATCTCAAAGCACGAACATACAGCCCTCGGGGGATATCAACATAGCAAACAAATTTAAAATTCTTTTGCTGTTAATGGAAAGATCTTTCATAACATTTTCCTCCCTTGCAATACAGACATGTGAACAATACTGTCAAGTACAGGAGCCTCTTAGGATTACTCATGGAGCACTGGTTATCTCAGAATTCAGAGACAATCATTTCCAAGCTAACACATTAATTAAATTGCACACATATGAAAAACCAGAACGAAACTGCAAGCTGTTTCGAACAGAGTATAAATCATCTATGCATTTTATATCCTGTCAGATACCGGTGATAAACCATCCCGCTTATGTTTGCAAAACATGATTTAACAATTGCAAGTGCCTAACAAAACCATTTTTAAAAACACCCAAGGCTACAATAACTTCACAGACAGGACAGACATTTCCCAAGAAGAAAGCAGAGAATCCAAAAAGCTGAGTATTTCTCATAGGAAGCGGCAAACGTGTGACTCACCTGCTGTGTCTCCAAATGGCTTTGCTGGTTTGGCAGTCTCTCCATAGCTAACGCTGGGCGGCGTTGTGCTTTGTCTCCTGGGCAACATGGTCGTTACCACAAAGACTTTTTCGGAGTTTCTCGGTCTCTTGGTGGTTGTGCTGGCGGTGGTGGTGATGGTGGTCGTGGCCTTGACAGACACTGTGGTGCTGGGCACTGCCCGTCCGTCGTCCTCGCTGCCGTCATCGCCCCCGGTCGGCCCCCAGTCAATAAAGCCTGGCACTGTCGTGGTCCTGCTGTCGCGGGATCTCTCACTGGTGTCCCACTTCAGCTGCCTGCGCAGCCGGGGCAGCGACGTGGCAGAATCCAGACTCCTGCCCTCTGGGGAGGCTGGAGAGGCCTGAGCATCACCAGAGGCGGTCTGGAGGGGGCACTCTTCACAGCCGGGCCCCCCGTGGGTTGGGCCTCGCCGCTTTTGGCCTACAAGTGTGGGACTCCTCCCAGCTTTGTTGGTCGGCTGCTGCAGGGGATGGAGGCCCTTCTTCCATCCAAGCCCCTGAGACCTCCACGGTGGCCTGCTTGGGGCCTCCCAAAGAATCGTGGGGCTAGTCTTTAGCCGTGGCACAGATCTGGCTGTGAGTTTGCCCCCCAGGCCAGGAGTAGGGGGACTGCAAGCTGAGAAGTCCATGGTGAGGTGGATAATGGCTAGTAGGATCCAGGTGTGGCATCCCGGTGAGCTCCCTGGTCTTAAAGCAGATGTTGAACTGCAGGGACAGAGAAGATATTTAATGTACTCATTCCCAGCTTTCGCTGAGTCTGCAAAGGTTCTGAATCAGGTAGTAGCTACACTGACACCGTAACTGGAAGAATAAAAATGTTTTCGGAAAGTTACCAACTCTCTGGAAGGGTTATACGCCGTACTATTCAGCAAGCTACCTCACATGAGCTACTACAGCAAAAAAATCCCTTTTAACAATGAATAAAAACAAAAGTCGCTTTTGTTAGAAGTGTCAATCAAGTAATGAGATCACAATAATAAAATGTAGACATAAATACTGGCAGCTATTAGTCAGCACTGAAAATTTCAAACATAACTTATAACTTTCAATGTTTTCTCTAAAAAACAGCCAAGATCTGAATATATCCCTGGGCACCGAGTGGCTAATTTTGGTAATCCCAAAGGAAGTGGGAACACTGTAATCTGGAGTGTAATAAAGTGCATTGGCTCTTACTGTCACAATCATAGACTTGCATTTACATACGTATATTCAGTAGATTCTTTTATCCAAAGCTACGTAGATTTTTTGAGAAAGCAGGGCCAAGCAATCTCCTGGAGCCATTGCTGGGTAAGAGCTTTGCTTTAGGGCCCAGCAGTGCTCTTCCAATCACAGGCACAGCGTTGCTTCAGGGCCCAGCAGTGCTCTTCCAATCACAGGCACAGCGTTGCTTCAGGGCCCNGCACAGCGTTGCTTCAGGGCCCAGCAGTGCTCTTCCAATCACAGGCACAGCGTTGCTTCAGGGCCCAGCAGTGCTCTTCCAATCACAGGCACAGCCTTGCTCCAGGGCCCAGCAGTGCTCTTCCAATCACAGGCACAGCCTTGCTCCAGGGCCAAGCAATGCTGTTCCAATCACAGGCACAGCACCCTAATCCACTGAGCCACACACCACACTCATGCCAAAGCACCATATCTGTCACCTGACTGATCCGGCACCTTTCATTGTTTATTGCTGGAGACAAATTATGTCAGACAAGTCAGTGTGCAGTTACCTCAAGTCAAACCAGCACAGCCAGTTTTCCCCTGCGGCAAAACTACATTTATGTCCACAAGTGTCGCATGCTTATGATGCGACGCAGTGCACAGACAGAGCTTTCAACGGAAAACGAACGCTCTCACTTGCAGCTTCCATCAAAACTAAAATACAGCCACGAATAAAAATTTGAATGCATAAAATATATAAAATGACCAATTTTTCACACAACTTGTCCTTTATTCTGATGTCAGCTCAAAGCCTCTTTTCAATAGCAAACGTACAGCTACTAAAAAGTACATTTAGAAACCCGGCCCTGAATGCTGCTGGTAGGAGCAGTTCTTACACTTATTTTTCTTATTAACTCTAATGAAGCAGGTCATTTGTAAGATGTGTTATGGAAAAATATCAGTGAGTGCATCCACTAGGAACCTTTACAGTGTGTCACCCTCCTGCCTCAGAGAACAATATACATTTTCCATATATCAATTACCGCAAAGACAATAAAAAATATTATAAATATCTGACATATTTAGCTATATTTTTAAAGAATAAAGAAGGAACACACACAACTGATGATAAATTGAATTTGTGTGGATTATGAAATTCAAATTTTCATGACCTGTTTTATTCTTTATGTGCGGAATACAAATTATTGGTTTATGTCTGTGACCATACAGTAATTGCTGCTTCTTAATTTTTTGCAAATATCTTGAGCAGTCTTCATGAACACTGTTAAAATTAATTTTAACACTTCTGTTCTATGCGTGCTCAGTCTGTTAAATGAATATTTTTCATCAAATTATAATTGACCAAATGGTAGTTTTTTTACTCTTGTTAAGTGATTATGCATAGCAGCTTGTATTTTGACTCAGTATATTATCTGAAATGCCTTTTTGAAGGAGAATGATAATTACTTTCTGTTTCCTTATTTCAATTATTTTTTTCTCATAGGAAAACCTTTCAAATGTACCATATGTAAAATCTAATTAGTCGTGACGTTAAATAACATTTTTTTGCCGATTTGCACTGAAAGTGCTCCAAATGACTTTACACACACACACACACACACACACACACACAGGATTGTAATTATATCTTTGTGGGGACTCTCCATTCATTTCTATGAGGAAAACTCTAATCCCAACAATGACAACCTGATCCCCTACTCAGCATTACCCATAATTAACCAAAAAAAAAAGGTAAGCCTAATCCTAAACCTAACCATAACCAAACAAAAAAAGACTTTTGGCATTTTTAGTTTTTTGATTGCATTCACGGATCTTTGGGGAACCTTGAAAATGGTCCCCACAATATCAAAATAACAGGTTTATATTACATTGTGGGGAACATTTGGTCCCCACAATGTACTATAAACATAATCCACACACACACTCACACACACACAAAGCTCTGGAAAAAAATAAGAGACTACAGCAAAATTTTCAGTTTCACTTATTTCTCAATTTATGGGTATGTGTCTGTGGAAAATATACATTTTTTGCAAACTCCAGCCCTGGCTCTTTCCTGCTTCTCATGAATGAAGGGCCTCTTCCTGTCTTTATGGGTCTTCAGTCTGGCTTCTGGGAGCCTGATATGAACTGTCCTAGCAGTGCACAGCACACCACTTATTGTTTCCCATTCTTTTTGAAGATCACTTGAAGTCATCCTCTGATTTGTGAGGCACTGCCGGATAAGTTGTCAGTCATCTCTGGTATTAGAAAGCTGCTTCTGCCCTCTTCCTGGCTGCTTTTTGGTTATTGCCGGTGTCTCCTGCTTCACCCTGTTTTTGTGTACTGCTGTCTTAGAAACTTTGAGTTTGGAAGCAGACAGCCTCGCAGCCTTCTTTCTGCAGAACCAGGATTAAACCAGAATTTAAAAATGCAGGTCTCAATTTCTTCCAGAGTTGGGTGTATGTGTGTGTGCATGTATGTCTCTCTCTCTCTCTCTCTCTCTCCCTCTCTCTCTTTCTCTCTCTATATATATATATATATATACAGTAGATGTCTAGAACATGGTATGAAGATCTTGACACATCATTACACAAGTATACTCACACATACAGTTATTTCAGTAATTCTGAGCACGCTAAATCTCCTGCATACGTTTTGCACGCATTGATTTCTGCATGAATGAACATTTCGTAACATTCTAATGTAAATGTCCAAATCATTATTCTTTATATGTTATAATAACATGAGGCATGACAAGAATCATAATTACTCACAGAGAAGCCCCACATGTCAATATCCAGGATCTTACTGAGGACTGACAGCGGATAAGTTGATTGTAAATAAAATACATTATTCAGCCGCTCCTCATACTTCCTCGTGAGAGTCTGGGCCTCAGTCTCCTCTCTGTTCCGTTTTCCGGCTGAACTCTCCTAGGGACTTAAATTACTTTCCGAAACGACTGAGCGGCCCAATAATTAACATAAATGTTTTCCAGGGGAGATTCACCTGAAGGTCATCTGGACATTGTGGGGACAATACTTTCAGCCATGGAACAAAAAAAACACAGAGGGATGGGACACAAACATGTCCCCTTTGTTCTCTTGCTTTATGTAATGATTCATTATGCTCAGTCAAGTGTTGTTTTATAAAACTAGAATTCAAATGCTGTTGAGCAAGCGGGGACAACCCGGGTTTGTGTCACACATGGGCCGTGTGCTCTGATAACACAGGCTGTGCTGAGCAGCGTGCAAACCCTGTGATTAGCTTACAGCCTTGGCTTTAATCCCAGGAAATCGGTCTTGATGTCTTACACTCAAGGAAGTTTATAAATTGCGACTGGAAGACTGTTCATCGGCACAGAAAGATCCAAAAGCATAACAGCAACATTTTACTTACGAAGGTCCATCTATCCATTCTGAGTCAGGAATTAAACCCACGTCCATGGATTCATGCAGGCCAAAGGAACAATAACAAACTGTCTCAATTCTGCTCCTGCAGGGCCTGAATCCAAGACAGTTTCCAATATTTCTCTGCTCAAATACGTCTTAACCAGCTAATTACCAGATTTAGTGTGTTTGAACAGAGAAATCTGCAAACTGTCTTGAATTCTGGTCCCCCGGGGCTGTAATGGGGGAATCCTGCTCTTGAGACTGTGTTTATCTATCATACATCACCTCAACCTTGTTCTAGATAAGCAGTATGAAAAACTTACAAAAAAGAAGCAAAATGGCCGTCATACTGTTTCATTTTTTGACCCCTTCACTTGAATACTCAACAGGTAGCCAGAAGCAGCAGGGCTGAATAGCTGCAGGAAAATCATTTTTATTTTGCAGCCGTAACACAACAACACGCCTACACTCCGCCCACATGCTCAGAATAAAGGAATGCACAGATGATCAGTAAGGATACCAGAAAGCACAATGCAATTAATGCCGTACAGCAAGTGAGTAAGCATCACAAGTGCTTACAGTTTAGGAAAGTATCATTTTAAAGACATTTATTCTCATGGCTAAGCAAACAGAATGGCAGCCTTTGCTCCAAATATAATTACAAGTCACTTGCAGTGTGGTGGGTTCCAGCTTTCTGTGTGTGGAGTTTGCATGTCCTGGTACTCTAGGTTCCCTCTAACAGTACAAGAATATGCAGTGAGGTGAACTGGTGTCCCATCCATGATGTGTTCCACCCTGTTCCCTGTACTTCCGGGAAAGGGTTAAATATGGATAGGCAATCAAACCACAGAATCATATGTTTAGACCAATTAACTAATATTTTGCTCGTATGGTTTAAGAACAAATTTAATTTTTGAACAAACGGATGGATATTGGACTTTGTTTGGCTGCTTTTTCAGGGAAACGTCTCGCCTGCAAAGCCACAAGCTGCCCTTGTTTTGTGTCAATCTTACCGTAATTCTAAGCAGAGTAAATTGCTCATAAACGGATGACATCTTGAGATGCATTGCTGACGTTCCAGCACGGCCCTCAGAAAGGATCAGCACTTCTCAAATGGAGGATAGACAAAGGACCACACTGCTCCCAGGGTAACCGAAAGAGAAATCATAACAT